CTGCACATTAAGGAGTGTAATCTTCTCCGTGTACCCTCAGTGCTCCAGTAAGGTTCATTGGAGTTACACACTGAGAGGAAAACAATATTTTGTGTTTGGAGTTGGTGCTTTCCATCCACAGAGCTGAGTGCATCACACGAGGACAGAGAGAATCTACCTGCACCAATCTTCCAAAAATTCTTTGCTACACCCTTAAAAGACTCATGCATCTGCAGGGCCCCCTCTGAATTACAGCTCATCATAACCTCCCTTTGTCCCTGGGAATTTCTAGTTAGCTTGGGCTGCCACACACAGAACTGGGGCTCTTGAGAGGGAAGTTCCCCATACCCTGAGAAGGAAACATATTTCCTTCTTGCACTAGCCCAGCTACAATGTGAGGCTGGGCTTATCTGCCCCTTGGTGGAAGGCATCAGAAGGTGGGAAGGAGGCTGAACACTGTGAACTTTAGGATGAGATCCCAACTACAGTACACTTTGAGAGATGAAGTTAAAAGGAGTGTCAGCAGGGTTGAAGTCTTGTTGAGACTAAGTTTTTCTTGCTGTTTCAAATCATAACATCAGGTTATTTAGTCTTCCACTTAACCTTTCTTCCTTTGGCTAATAGGTCAGCTTATTGGGTTCATGCCCTTTTGTAAATATTGCTAGCCTCAAGCATTCTGAAATCACAGATTTATTCTCAGATCCATGAGACTGCAGGAAAAACATGCAATTTTTTAAATTGAGCAATTAAAATAGTTTAATTAGTATTTTAGCCCCAATCCTTTGAGTTTCACAGCTTCTGAGCACTTTTTTCTTTGCTTGGAGCTTGACAGTCCTTGCCCCCAGTAAAACCTGTATTTATCACAATTGCACAAATGAACAACCAGCACTGTAGTAAAAAACTCAACTAAACCAAGAGTTCAGAAAGAGCTTGAGGTTTGGAAGTGCTGGTTTTGTGATTGCATAATTTTTTTTTTCACTTTTTCTTTTTTTATCTCTCCCCTCACCCGTTGTGCATGTCTGTGTTACAGCATATCTGCTTAGAATGGAGCTGAAGGGATTTCTGGTTTGGTGAATTAGTGTACAAGTGGCCAGAAGAAAAGTCTTCAGTAAGAAAGCCCAATGAATGAGAAAGCACAAAAGGCTGAACCGGAGTAAAACTGCCCATATGTTGCATGTGCTTCTTGGCCACGTACAAGGGGGCTGCAATTTGCACATTCGTAATCTGTGCTCCCTTTCAGATGGGTAAGAAGGCCTTTGGGAATATTTGGCACGATCTACCAAGAATTATTCATCATGTGATGCATATATTTAGGCAGCAAATACACTCTGTGTAGGGGCATGAGTGAAAATAAGGCATTTCAAGGTACTTTATAATGTCCCTGTGTTCGTCCCATGGTGTGAAGGTTCGATGTGTCTTCCTGCCCCAGCTTTGTGTGTTCCAGCGCCCCACAGGTTTTGTGCTCTTACTGCCATCTGAGAATATTCATCATGGTTGTTCACAGTGCAGTTATTGTCATTTGGAAATGCTTGTCATGGGGAACAATTTCAAAGGTGAGAGAGGCAACAGGGCAAAAGCTTTCCCTGCCATATCTGCAGGAGTCAGAGCAGCATTACCAAACCCTGCACCTGGTGATCTCCAGGAGAGTGTCCTGTGAAGGGCTGTTTCTGCATCTTAAAAAGTGGTTCTGTAGATGCCATTGCTGAAGAGTTGGTCCTCAGTGATTCTTTTTGCTGCCAGTTTGTGTTTCTTTGCAGTCAGATTGCATTCCTACATGTGGATGCAAACAAAGAGTTTCTGGGCTTTTTGAGGTATGAGAACCATTGCTGTGGCAATAGGATTAGCCTGACTTGCTTCATTGCCACCTTTCTTTTTCCTTTTTGCCAGTTTACTGCCTCTTCTGTGCAGAGACTAGTGTAGTACCTGTTCTGGTTTTGGCATGTTTGTATCATCTAGTACATTGAACATTCATTTGCTCTCTCTTTTTGCTGTCTTATTCATCTCAGGAGGACAATTGCATCCAAACCCTCTGATAAGGCATAAAGGGACAGCTGATACTGCCCACAGCTCCCAGATGAGAAGAATTGTAACATTCTTGTCAGGCTGAAGGCCACAACCCATGGGCACATTCTCCATTTGAATCTGTGGAGTTTCTTCTGGGAGCATGAGATATTTGAAAAAAAACCAGTGGTAGTTCTCAGGTAAAGAATAGTTCTTTACCTTGTCTGACATTCAAGGTTTTTGAGACTTTTGGTGCATTTCTCATTTCTCATTTTGAATTTTTATATGGTACTGATAAATGCATTGTATTATTCTATAAGTTTGTTTAATTAAGTTGTAGAACAAGGTACTTCTGTTAAGTTTTTCACAGTTCTTCTGACCTGTAATTGAGCATCAAAACACAGTTTGGAGAATTCAAGCCTGGAATTTGTCATCTAGGGTAGCTTTTCAATTAGACAGAGAAGGTTAGGCATTTTTCATGGTGTTTAAAAACTTAACTTCAGAAAAAATAATTATACATTAACAGCTCTTACCACAATATTTTTGCAAACATTTATATGTCTCTCTGCAACTACAAGACTAATTAAGGCAGGGCTTTTTGGCTTTTGCTGTGAATGTGGAGCTATTGATCTGTGAACATAAATCCATATTTATCTCCAGTCAAGTTTATAGGACAATGAAATGATAGGATTGCTTGAATCAATCAATGTTTCTAAAGCAAGCTATAGAAATATAAACAAGTTACCAATTATTTAATAAAGTCAATTTGCTTAGAAATGCCTGGCGACAGGCAGCAGATGTTATACTAATTTCTGCTTTCTCTGGAATTTCACAGAGGCTGCAAGATCTTAATGCCACTATTAGCAGAGGTAACTTTATTTTAGAAACTCATTCCGAACTGTCACAGCAAGAGGAAGAAACTGTCATTCCTTTTGACCACAAAATCTGTGCTATTTCTAAGAGGAGTTCTTTGAAATAACTAGGATATCTCACAGCTTGTTGCTTTAGAGGGGACTTAGTACAGTGGCACTACATTTAGTTAGCATAATGAGGGTTTTAGACTTTAAGATACTGACTGTGTTTGAAGTACTTTTAGGCAGCTAAGAGTAAATTTGTTAGTGAAGTACAAGTTTGCGTAATATTTTAGCTTTCCTAGAATTTTAAACTGTATGCCTATTTCCTGAGAAGCATTTAGGTTAATATAGCAGGTTCTGACTTGGCAAAACAATTTAAGTGTAAAAGTGTGTCTTTCTGCCTCTCAGTCGGAAGTGTCATGAAAGTGGCCTCCTCAGCGTGGTTTTACAGCTCCTGTGTTTGCCTCTTGAGATCCACTTTATTGGAGTGACTCTATTCAAGGTGACTCAAGAATCTCCCATGAGCTCATGGTATCCTTTTGGTGCTCCTGTCTGTTCTGAATGTAGAGCAGGGTGTTTATCAGTAGGCTCTGATGCCTTGGTGGTCTGTCTGTTGTGTAGTTTGTCATAGTTTATCATGCAGAAGTACAGAATCATCTGATTAAACTGCTTAATCAATCCTTGAACAGGGATAGCAATAATTAAGTCACAGATGGCCATTGTAAATCCCTCTATTCCAATGCATTATTATTCCCAGTACTTTGGATATTAAGGTTGTTTTGAATTAAAAAAAACACCAAACAAACAAAAAAAACACCAAACAAAACAAAACAAATTAAAAAAAAAAAACCAAAAAAGGTGAAATGTGCCTCTGTATTTTTTTTTTGAAAACAAAACAAAACAAATAAAAAAAAAAACCAAAAAAAGGTGAAATGTGCCTGTATTTTTTTTTTTTTTATCTGCCTTGAAGATGTTGAGAATTCATTTTGGCTCTGGAAAGGTTTTTGCTTTAAGATAAATTATCATCATATATACTTACATATTTTGTTACATGGGCTTGGTTAAAGCTTATACATAAACTAGTCCTTGATTAATCTCGTTTTTAAGCTGTTCTGTGGTATTTTATCTGCAGTATTTTGTGGCTAAGCTGTCTGCAGCAGAATTTTGTTGATCTGAAGACTGTGCTATAAATTTCTATAGACACAAACTGCTATAAAATTAAAACGTAACATCTTCCTGGACTTCCTTCATCTATCATAAAGCTGGTGTGGCTCGGCCTTAATTAGATTATTATAGACCTAAAATATATGAGGTAGAATAGCAGAAGAGGAATTGAATTTGGTCATTAGCAGGAGTATGTGGTTGGTCTAGCTGGTGTAGTCAGTAGCTCCTGAAAGATGAGACTACACTTTCCATTTGATATGCTTTGAAGACAGGTCAAAATCCTTAACGTGATTTAGGTTTACTGGGAAGATCTATAATCCTGCTTTTTAATAAACTCTGTATTTCATGTTGGAACAATCCTTGTGTATGTCAAGCATGGCTGAGGCCACAGTCACGGTTGTATTCCTTTAGAAGTTGAAATGTATTATTTTGGAAGAGCATTTACAGAAAATATTACTGGACTCAGACAAGGCTGTAAGGCATGAAGGCTTCCTGTAAAACCTGGGTTGTCTGGGTGCCAGGTTTTTGTTCTTTTTCGGTTGAGGAACAGTTCAGCCTCTCAGACTTTGAATGCTATTGTGTACTTCCCTGTTTAATAGCTGCTGCTGCGGGCGTGTGCAGGCTGCAGCCCTGGCTGCTCAGCCTGAGCTCCCTCTGGTATTTGCTGGGGAGCTCCCAGGCAGTGCTGGGCAATGAAGGGTGAGATGGGTCCCTTAGTGTAGGTTTTGGTCAACATCTGTTTGTGATGAACGAGGTGCTGATCTGTGGATTTTAATTGCTACGGAAGAGAAGAGCGTGGATGGCACCGAGTGAAGGAGCTGCAAACTTGGGTAGATGCAATCTTGAGGGAAGCCTTGTGGATGCCAATGCAGGCACCGCTGCTGACTCACAGCAGTCTGACAGGAAAAGGCTCTCTTCTGCTTGTCTCTGGCTTCCTCCAACCTGTGGTTAAGGAGGACTTTGTATCTGTCTGCACAGTTCTTTGACACTGTTACCATACTGGCCAGCGTGACTCCGCAAAAGGAACTTGGAGGTTGGTGGAAAATATCTGCGCTATTAAGTCTTAATTAGGATGATATTTCTCACGTAAAAAAAAATTTGTAAAGGATATTCTCAGGATTGAGAAATAGCTTGTTTTCATTGTTTTCTGCATCCTTGACTCCTTTTCCCTCCACAAGTATCATGGGGATTTATGTGACTCTTCACAGAGCTGAGGTCCCTAACTCCAAGGTGAAAACTGTGAGTGCCTCTGTCTGTGATGAGAAGTGCTCCAGGTAGGTTTTAGAGTCAATGCTTGCCACCCTTCTTAATGGTCAGAGGTGCCAAGTTAAAATCCTTCAGCAAGAATCAGATGATGAGGCTTAAAAAGTAAAACAGCACAGACCCCACCATCAACAGCAGAAAAGGATGAAATGATAAGCAAAAAAAAGCTTAATTATGTGTTATTTTCCAAACTGTATTCTGATGTGAGACCCTATTTTCTTTCTTAAGCATGTGTTTAAGAACTATTCTTACCTCCTGTCTCTCAGTGTGACTGGGAAAAGACTCCAGTGCTTCTTAAAAAACAAGTGAGGTCTCTTCTTGACCTGTGTGTGCCGATAGGAGTCGTGCAGTTGATTTTAATAAGAGAATATCTGTCCTCTATGTGCAGAAAAATGTATTTTATTAAAAAGCCAAATAAATTAAAGTGAAATTGGAATATTATTTCTTGTCTTCTACCTTTGTGGTAGAAGAAGAAAAGACAAATCTTTTGGAAAAGAAAGAAGAAGAGAAAAGATGAAAAGTCTTTTAGAAAAGACTTTGATGCATATCAATGTTTGATTTTTTTTTCTTTTTCTGAAAGTCCCACAGGATTGGTTGTTATTGGGATTAGCTTGTGCCCAGTGATTAATTCCTTGTGTCACTGGTGCTGAATCTTGTTGGAGTTCTTGCAGAACTTTCCAGCAGCAGCATCAAACCAGCAGAGCTGTTATTGACCTAGAATAGCAGTGGAGTTGTTAATACCTGAAGCAAGGTTTTCTGTGAGCTTTGTTGCTATTCTGTGGAGCTGATGAGCTGGTTAACACCTTCTACTTATTCTGTAAGAATCTGAGCCTGGGAGGGAATAATGCAGTTGTGAAGCATGAAGAACCAAAATAGCAGTGATTCACTTAGAGTAGAGCCAAATCTTCTTAAAATTAAACTCCATTGTGTTAAAGACTTTACTTTTTTGATACCTATATTATTAACTTCTCTGATAAAAGCAGGAAGTGTAATACAGTGATACTGGAGAAGCCTTGCACATTAAATGTAAGCTATTGTCTTGGGGTAGTCAGAGAAGAAACCACTCTTCATCAGGTGTGTTAGGAGAATCAGATTTTACAGAATTTCTGGCTCTCAAGGTTACTATATAATTCACAAACCAAATGTTTGTATAGCATTGATTTCCTTATCTTTCAAATAGGTTTTAGGATGGGTGGAAACTCCGAAGCACATATATGAGAATTTATAGTTTCTTAAATAACAAGAAATACTGGACAGTTCAGAGAATTTTGTCATAGGCAGAGGTGTTTACATGCAAGCTGCTGCTTCTGATGTTGTTGTCCTGAGGGTTTTTTTGCTCATGGAATTTGGTTACTTTAGTGTATAACAGGTCGGTGGACTTCTCCTGTAGAAGTGCTTCAAGGTGTGTTCTTTGGTTTACCTTTCTAATTGGACTAGAGCGGATGCTTAAAACAGGCTTGAGGTTTGCAGGCAGGAACATATGGAAGAAAGCTGAAGAATTCATACACAGTGAACAAACCATTTCCAGAACTGCAGTCAAAACTTGATTGTTGTGTGCAGGTTGTTCATGGGACTGTGGCAGCCTGACTGTGCCACAGTGCAGAGGTAGTAGATTTGACCATATTGGTGTTAAACCTGGTAGTAGAAATACAATGTAGGGGCAGCCAAAGTATCTCTGGAGAGACTGGTTAGGGATACCTCCAAGGGGGAGAGTGCACTGAGGCAGGAAAATTTGCTGTAGCCCTCGTGGAGGGGAGATGATACAGCCAAACAGTGCTGTCTGTGTGGACTCACCAGTGGGGCAGATGCTGACTTATGGATCTGATGCTATCTCAAAAAATTGGGGTTTTCTGCTCATTTGGTCTTTCTTTATATGCATTCTAGAAGTCACATTAGACCAGCTTTCCTCTAATTCCTTCTTTTAGTTGTGGTAATTTAAAGTATACTTTGTTCCATTCTTACAAGGTATAGCCAGCTTGGAAATTGAGTGCTAATGGAATTTCATATTGCAAAAATGCTCTATTTTAGTTACTTTAGAGAACTCCACTGTTTGTATGTCAGGACACCCCTGAACTGCCTTTATATTTTTCTTCCATGATCTGTAACATGGCCAGGCTGTCTTCCCCATTTATTGTCCCTACAGATTTCCTAGATTCCCATAATGGTCTAAAAACCCATTCAGCAGCGCTGATGTCTCAAGCGGTGGGTATGTAAATATTTACTGGCATGACAGACAACAACAGTGGGAGGGGGGAAATTGCTACATTCTGCCATTCAGGGAACCTTCGAGTTCTGTCTCAGAGTGTGCAGTCCATGAGAAGAGGAAAGGTTTGCAGTGTGTGCTTGACATGTTTTTGCTCTCTCAGTTCCTGTTTTGTTGCAGATGTCATTGCTTTAGCTGTGGAAGGCTTTATCAGCCCTTGCGGAGGCTTTCCCCTGCTCACAGCACTCAAGGCTGCAGCTGTAGTGGAGGAAAATGGAGCCTGTAGATCTTCTGGCACTTGCCTCCCTAGAAATGAACAGTACCACAGCCACCCTGGCTTTGCTGGCAGTCTTCCTGGTCCTGCTGTATTGGTAAGTGGGAGTGGTGAGATGGGTTGCACATCAGACACAAACCCTGCTGAAACCCAGCATCTGTAGGGTCTTATCCATGAGGGGGGACTGGAAGGTAATTTCCTAGGAGGGAAATAGAGGGGGAGTTGGTTTGGAAGCAGAGAGTGCAATAAATACTCACAAAACTCACTATGCTTTTAGATAATTCTCTCCTTGCAATATTGTCTTGTAAGTGCTTTACCAACTGTTAACAAAAATTATCTTCTAAGTTAAGAACTTATTTGTTGGTTTCTTTTTAATTTTTTTGGGCAGCAGGAACATTGGTCCAGGTCAAAAAGAAACCAAATACTTGTTAGATCTCTTCTCTCTACTATGCTGCACACTTGTTCTTTGGCTTAAGTGTACAGACACTTAAACTGCTGCTTGAATTTCCTCTGTTCTTTCCACACTGACTAGTAGACACAAATCAGAATAACAGCAGCTGTAATGGTTAGCACAGTAGGCAATGCAATGTGCTGTGCTGAAATGGAAAAAAATCCCAAAAAACTCCCCCCGTCCTGACAATTTCTTTCAGAAATTATATTAGCTGAATTGGGAGTGTTTTTCTGACTTTTCACTTGCGTTTATCTTCAAATCCTGCCTTCCAGTAAAATAATGGGTTTTTTCTCAGTTGTATGAGTGTTCAACAAAAGGTTCCAGGGACTGTTGCAGAAAAAAATCAAATCCACCAAAAATCCAAAGCTAATCAGGAGGAGAGTAGTGATGGCACCATGAGTTTAGCACAATTTTTGTAGCAATGTAAATGACAGATAGCTTTCCATATAGTTTGTCATTCTTTCACCCTGTTGAGCTTTGTTCAACTTCCTCTGTGTTCAGGGAGGGCCTAGAGAGACTAAAAAGAGTCAAACCTATATCTGACATGTGTTGCTGTGTCAAATAGGTGTGTGAGCCTGCTTTCTTAACAAGCTCTGCCCAAATAATTACAAACATCCAAGTCCTACCTCCTCTGAATTTTATTGGGAAAAAGACCAGCAGCTCTAGAGTGTTAAGACCATGCTGTTTAGCTGTAGACCTGTGCATCTCTGGGAGCTTAAGGGGGAGAGAGGGAGGACAGAGGCACATCCACAGTTCAGAAAAGCAGCAGATCAGCTGGTGAGATCTGGCCACCTGTGAATCATTTGAAATAGCCTGGTACTTTCACATAGCTCATGTCCGGATGTGCCGAGGTCTCCAAAGACCCAGAACTGCTCCTTGTAAATCTTAGGTACTGTCTGGTGTGTGTTTGCCCAGGGCCTCATTTTCTGGCTCAGTTTAGGAAAGGCTGTTCCTCCCCTTGAAGTTAAGACATGGTGGTTTAGTGCACATTTGGTCTCGCCATTAACAAAGCTAACTCTAATTGCAGAGTTAAACCAGACTCATGGCTGTGGTCAGTTGCTGCTGAATTGAGGGCCTACCATAAAAGTTTCAAAAAGTTCAACTTAGCATTTAGGTGGGAAATTGTCTAACAGTAGAGACGCCCCATTCAGAGTGTCTGCTTTCCTGGCTGAAGGTGACTTCTGTGAAAGCGTCAAGAAAAGGCAGCAGAAGTTTTACATGGGAAAAGTGTTTTACACTTGTAACTGCCAATGATTACTACTAACCAATCTTGTTGATCTACAGATTCAAGTTTATTTTTAAGTAGCTTATTAAATACATCTGCCTGTAGATCACTCTTCAAGTGGGAAGCTGATGATTATTAAGCTTGCAATGAAATAAGCTATGGGCTGCTGGTAGGTTTGCCTGGTGGCTGAGCTGTTCACATCTGTTTATCTCAGTAAAGTGCAGTGCCTGAGCCTGTAAAGTTAAAGTCTTGAAGCACATCTGCAAGTGTGGTAGTTGTTCAAACTTGTCAACTTTCTAATTTGAGTCTATTTTGTTGAATTTTTTTATACTACCTGAGTGCTTAAACAAATCAGTAAAACTCAATTTATGCTCACATCTTCATTTATTCATGACTGAAACCTTGGGTTCAAGGAATTATTTAAACAGTGTGTAAAATGGTTGCTAATAGAAATGCACGTCTCTAATTCTAGAAAATGTTTTTATTACAATCATGTTGCATACCTGATTACCTGGCTCTTCTAGGAGTTAGAAAACATGAGTGTTGTGTATGGCAGGAGTAATAATAAAGTAATAACTCTTAAAGTTCCTTTGAGGTTTTCTTCATAAGCCTTATCCTAATTTTTTAATAACTATTGAGTTATTCTTTTTTTTAAGCTTTTTCTTCCAGGATTGTGTATTTTCAGAAGGGCAGTCCTGGGGAAAGGGAGGAATGAATATTTGCTGTTTTAAATTTTGTTATGGTATGATTGATTGGGGTCATGTTGTGTCAACTGTTGTGTGAGTACAAAGAACAGGCAGTTTGTCCACCTTGTTGTCTGTAAAAGGCTTAGCAAGGCTCAGCAGAAGGCAGTTGCAGGTAGAGGAGAGAGTAAAAAGATCTGATGCACACTGGAATGGGAATGTGGTCATGGCAACATTCGTTTTATTGAGCTCTTTCCTCAGCACGGTTTTCGTGGATGGGGGTACTCAGTGGTTTAAACGACAGCCTGGAGCTGCTGTCCATCAGCTCAGCCTCAGTCCCTGTGAGTGTGTGTATTGTAAGGCCAGCTGGGATTTGTCACAGTTCAGCTGGCAGGTGGTATCTTGCTGAACTGTGATAAGACCAATCTCTTCACATTTTTGGGTATGGTGAGGTCATATGAAAGAGGGAGAGGAGAAAGGGTTGATTGGGAAAGGGAGCAGAGGCTGTAGCTGCATAAAAGTTAACTTATAGGGAAGATGCAAATCTGAGAAAGAAACTTGGATGATTTGATAATTTTTAGGCTGTTATTGATAGTACAATGAACATAATAACTCTTTATAACAAATCATGTAATAGCACATCTCTGATTTCTCACGCGTTGTCCTCAGTGTAATATGAAGGTGATGCTTGTAGTGTAATGTGTCAATTTTAAATCAGTGGAAACAACTATAACCTCTCAGTATTTGTCTTCTACATGACCTTAAGTCTCCTCTAAGAAGTCTCCTCTAAGGAGAGGCTTTGTAAGGTAGTCAATTAAATGTTGGGAGTAGAAAGACCTATGAAGCTTTTTGGGTACATAGCCTGTTTGGATTTGAATGGGAAGTTGTTTTTTTGGTAATCTGTTAAATTAAGAGGCTGCTCAAGCCTCTTTGCTATCCCCCATTCCTGAAGGATTTAGTCATCTGCTCCCCCCCCTCCATTCTTGCTCCTTGTTCTCTGTAGGTGAAAGTCTCTTGCAGATTTCTTATCATGGATTCTTGGATGTCTGTTGCTACATCACTATTATTGTGATAGACAGGTTGCTGCTTTACTGACCACAAAAAAAGCATAATATGGCTAACTACCAAAGTTCAGTAATACCAGTGGCACAACACTTAGCGCTCTTAAAAAATGTCTTGTCTGTGTCCTCCCCTGTGATTTCTTCCACCCAAACTGATTATCAGGGCAGTTTCTTTTAAGAGCACTTTCTTTCTCAATTGCAAGCACTGCTGTCTCTATTTGCCTAATCTCTGTGAATCTCAGGGGGTTTTTTTAGGCATGAAATAAAACCAAACTCTTAAGGGAAGAATGAGTTTAACATTTACAAATCCCAGTGATATTCTCTATTGAAAAATACAGTAGTATATCTATGCAACATATTGTTCATTTTCATTTCAAACATATGCTGAGTTGGATATCCCATGCTTGGCTGTAGCTGCAAACATTGCTTTGTGTCTTTCTTTTTGCTGTCTGGGTAGATGTTTGATAAAATGAAAGCAGGAGTTTATCTTGCTTTAAAGTTTAATGTACCATAAGCTGAGCATTATGAAGAAGCTGTCACAGCATTCAGATACCTGTGTTCAAACTGGATTATCAACCCCTTGTCTAAACAAACCTGGGGTTTTTTAAAAACATGGAGGTTGGATGGGAGTGTTTGTTTATGTTTGTAAGATCCGTGTCTAATTGCATGCTTTCAAACATAGCAAAACATAAACTAGTGGTGTTCCTGTCTGTTTCTGAAAAGCTAAGTAATTCAAAAAGATGTCATTTTTACATTGAAGTAATATTAATGATTACTTGTGCTAGAGACAAGCATAGAGACTAAGAGATTGGGATCTCCCTAGATCAAGGTACTACCCACCCAGTGCAGAACAAGTCAATCCTGACCCAAAGAATTTGCAGTCTGATAAAAAAGAATGAAAACAAAACAATATTTTTCCTCCTCTGACCTTAAGTCATTTGCATACAGTTGGATGGGGGACAAACTTAGGCAATGGGGCACATGTGTTAGAGTTCTTCAGTTGGTGCCATATGTGCACTAAACCACATCAGAAGTTGGTCTCAGGACAAGGTATTCCATACAGGTGACTTCAATACCATTGTTTGGCATTACTTTGCAACTGTGGTTTTGGAAGGGGCTCTAAAGGGAAGCTTAGAGGTAATCTTTCTCCACCAAAAACTTCATTCTGGTTTTTGAGAACCTTACTGTTTGGGGTTGAGTTAGCTAAAACTTCTTTTCTTTTTTCTAAAATAAATGCCACCTAATACTAGATCTTGGACTAACTTTTGCCCCTTGAAAGATCACTATTTACAAATGATATTTGATAGCTAGAGCTCTAGGTTTATATTCTGAGTGCAGGCATAAGGGAAGTAGATTATTTTCCCTAACACATCCAGATAATACTTCTGGACAGATTCAGGGAGAGGCACCACAAAACTTGCATCCTTTCTGAGTAGGTAGGCCCTAACTTTTCCACCTGCCACTGCTGCCATCAAAGGCACAGGGCTGCTAGGACCACTATGGCTAGAAACAGGCCTGGGTGTGGAGCATCAACAACCACTCAGAAGGACATACAGCTCTGCTCTTTTCTCAGGCTCTTCGAGGTGAGAGGCTCAGAGAGGCATCCTCATGCTCAGGTGTCAGAGCCTCTCATTTCCCTTTCTGGCAGAGGGCACAGCTCTGTAGACAGAGAGTGCT